TTAGCAAACTGAAAACTGTTCTCAATAAAATTTATTATTAGTCTATTTATGTTATAAAAATGATAATATTAAATATTAAACAATAGATATTTGTTAATTTTTTTTTAATTTATAATTATAAATAAAAAAATTTAAAAAAAATCATTAAAAATTACAATTTACATAATTTTATAAGTTAAATAAGTTTTTTTTATTCATTTTTATTTAATATTACATATAATAATATATGAATAAATTAGTAAATTGATTGAATATACATGTAAAAACCCAAATCCCTATTAAGGATTCCGAGCATATAATTCAGTAATAGTCAAATAAACAATATTGAAATTTATAATTTAGTGGAAACAAATAAAATTTAAGGTTACATTCTTTGCACAGTTTACTTAAAATACTCAATAGGAGTATGATAATGCCCTTGAGACTTAAATGAAAAAAATATAAAAAAAGCAAATATGATTAATCTCTACTCAAAACTGACGAAGTAGAAAAGACAATCTTTTAACAAGTTTCTTATTGTTTAGGATTCAGATTTTGGTCGTCCTGATCTGAAATGGTTAATAATAAAGGGGTGAACTACATAACTCAGTAAAAATATCAACTTCTTACAACTAATTCAAAAAATTAAAGTGTAACACCCACAAATTTTTTGTTTTAATTAAATAATTAATAAATATAATTTGTATTAATTTATTCTATTTTATTTAATTTAGAGGAAAAAAATAAAATAAAATTAATAGAGAATTTAATTGAAAACAATTTTGGAAAAAATTGGTGAAAATTTAAGTTTTTGGGATATTTTTGAAAGAAAAGTCAGAAAATATGGGCCAAAATGCAATTTTAAAAAGTTTCACCACGTTAGACGCCCGGTCAGCAGCCTTGACCAACCAGGACTCGCCAAGTGGCAGAGACACTGATGCGGGAAGCCACGTGGGCGATCCATGCGCCCGCAATCGAATGGCTGAGGTCTGTTCCCGCGCGCACGGATGGCCTAGATGCGCTCCCTCTCAAACGCGATTGAACGGCCAAATTCAAACGCGATCGGATGGCCTAAAGTGAATCGCGATGGATGGCTTAGATTGGTTCGCGATGAACGATCTAGATTCACTCCCTATTTTATCACAATCAGACGGTCCAGATCTAAAGCAGATGGATATCAATAACCCCAATCTGCACCAAACCCTAACCCTAGCTGCCAGAACCCCTTGCTGGAGAAGACGATCCAGTCGCCGGGGAGCCGACCGCCACCACCCGCCGTCGCACAGGAACCCTTTCCGACCGCTAAAAAAGGTAAAAACTTTTTTTTTTCACGAAATCCAATTTTAAGCTCACTTATTGCTAAATCGGAGCAAAAAGAGTGGTCAATTGGCTGGAAAACACCGGCGAAGCCCAGCGCGCCACAGAAAATTTCACAAAATGCCTCCGATGAGGCCCTTCCCGATTCCCGTTTTGCATAATTTTTACACCGTTGTGATCACTGTTTTTTTCATTACAAGTTGACCGAAGTAAAACATTCAACCGCAACGTGAGCCGGAGGAGTCGCCGCACCGAAGAACCCCGCCGCCGGTGAGTTTCGATTTTTCGTATTTTTTCAGCCAATCGAGACCCTTTAACGTATTTTTTCGCAAGGATCGATGTAAAATCGGTCGAGTTCGGCCAAAAACGGCCAATTCGAGGCGGACCACCGCTGCAGGCAGCGGCGTCATCGCCGGAGCGCGAATTTTCAAAATTGGCTGAATGGGCCCTAAGATTGATTTTGGATTTATTTGTAATATTTGTAGGTACTATTAACGCGTTTCAGTTCCCAAAGAAAAATTCAGGGAACTTAGGGACCGTCCGTAGGTGTAATAAACAGTTTAGCTTTTCAGGTGTCTAACTGAGTAAGGATCCTTCACCCTATTCTCTATTATAAAATTGAAATTTAAATAAATAATAATGTGATATTTTGTGCAATTTTAGTAAACATGCATAATTAATTACGGGTTGCTAATGGAGTCGGAACTGAAAATTATCTATTGCTATTGTTGATTGTTTTTACAGTTTACCTATATAATGATATCTTATTTATTTATTTTATGGTTTTGAACGCATATATGGTTTATTTTACGTATTTACTACTGAATCAAAAAAAATAAAGTTTAAACAGTAAAGAAATTGTGTGATTAAATGATTAGATGAAAATGCAATCTTACTGGATATCCTGAGAGATGGTGGACGGACCGGGTACATAGGGAACTCTACCGTGAACGTTGTCTCATGCCGGACGGGGTATGAAGACTTAATAATTTGGCGCTCATACTAAACGAGGTATGAGGACAACCCTCATATCGGATGAGGTATCGAGGTTTGGTAAATTGGCGCTCATGTCAGATGGAGTATGAGGATAACCCATAATTGAGAATGATAAATGAAAAGGTTCACGTGTAGCGGGGACATTCCTATAAACCCCCATGAATATCATCAAGCTGGTGAAAAGAGGAGTAGTTATTGTTTGATTTATTGATAATGGATATGGAGTTATAATATGTACTATGATGGCTGCTTATGCATAAAATATTGGTTTGTATGATATTATTGTTCTTACAGGTTGTTTCCATAAATTTCACTATGGTAAGTGAACGAGAAATGATTTTATGATTGATAAATGAATTTGCTAAATTTAATACTCCATTAGTGGTTTTCGATTTTTTACCAACTTTTACTTCTGTGTAGGTGATACAGTGTGATATCTTTACTGAGCTAGTGTAGCTCATCCTTTATTTAACCAGTTCAGATCAAGAGGACCAGGTTTCAAAGCCCGATCCGCAAGAAGATTGCAAGTAGATGCTAGATATTTTCTATTTTTTTGTTTGT